AATTGAAGAATCAGGATAGACAATGTTATCTATGTAGTGTTTTGAGCATCACGATGTTTTATGATGTTTTTGTTATGGTTATATTTTGGAGATGTTTTTCTTCACCACTCGTGAACGGAAGATTTTCCTTTTTTTTTTTTTTATACGAAGAATAGTTCAGTCTATGGAATAATAGTTCATAGATGAGATAAACTTCTCATCACGATGTTTCGTGATATTTTTGTTATGGCTTTTATATTTTGGAGATACTTTCTTCCAGATAGCTTTCTTCAGCGGAAGATTATTCTCTGCTTTCGAATGTTATCGAATTGTAGATTGATTAAAGTAATTGTTAATAGAAATAATTAAGATAGATTTCTTATTTGCGTAGTATCACAAATTTTTCCAATAATTATATTTCAAGAGTATTTTCCTTGTTCTTCATTGGTGTTCAATTCTTCGTAGCCGAAGAACGAAGGAAAGTGAAAGAATAGAAAAAAATATAATTAATTACTGCGATGAAATAAAAATGCTCTGATTCTCTGGTAGGCGCAACTTTGAGAAACAAAAGATTAAGATCTGAATATATATCGATTGTATGATTCGATTTAATTGAAGATTATGAAGGAATTGGGACAACATTCGTAATATCTGAAGTAATACCGGCACATAGCAGTAATAGAAAAGTTTCTTTCCAAGGATTCCACGAAGTGCATAGTGTACAATGTATGTACTGTACATAGTCTATGTCCACGTCGTTGCAGATAAAAGTTACGAACAGTAGGAAAGTCGCGCGAGCGAGACTATCTCAATGAGGCGTTTATCTAATCGAACAAAAAAGTAATGAAAATAAAAAGAATTCATACCTGAGGAGATAGCGTTTGATGGGAAGGCTGATTAGGGTGCAGAAGACCGGTCGATTCTTCTGGAACATCTTTTTGAATTTCGTTCATTTCTTCGTCATTGAATTCACACGCTCGATTTTGATCAACGAACTCCTACTTTATGCTTTCTTGCAACTGTCGAATTTTCTCCACTAAAAAGCTTCAAACTTTCGTAGGCAAAATAACGAAATGTAGCAAAGGAAGGAGCGTAATTTATGGCACCCTCGAGTGTCTTCGCTTCCGTTTCTTAGAACCGAGATCGACCAAGGCCAGACGATCGTTCCGAGCGTAGGAATCTCCGCGTTTTCTTATAATTTGGTAATTTTTTAAACGTGAAACTACTAAAGATTCGAGTAAAGATAAGGTTAATAGAACTGGAGTTAATAGAAAAGCTTGAAGCGTGCGTTTTAATAAATTTGAAAAAAAGTTTCTGACACCGTGGATACTATAACGAAGCAGGATCACGAAAGTTCGCGAGCTTTAGTCGTCGGAACGTGCGGTCTCGTCGTTCGACAAACAGCGATTGATTATAACCGAAGACCCATGACGATTGTTCGAAGCCGCGCCTGTTGGCAAAGCAGAGCCGAACTGGAATATTAATTTTCCTAGCAGAAACGTGTTTACAATGTCTGAAACGAGCGCAGACTTGTCGACTGATACGAGTTTCACATTATTTGATTAGTGTGGTGAACTGTGACGTTGAGTCGGGGCGTTGACGAATTCTCTTGTATTGGCAACATTTATCGAACTATGATTCCACTGTTAATTAACGCAGCTGCCATTAAGTCAAGCTATATTGTCTCGACGAAGAGAAGAAACGTTTAACAAACGTTAATTAAAACGTTAAGTCTTGAGAATAATTAAAAGTTTCTAATAGGAAATTGAAATCGTTGCTTTACCCTTTGTAACTTACTATTAAAATACTATCTTAATTCATGTAATAATTCATTCATTATTAAAACACCATATAAGTTGCTGTTAAATCTTATATATTATATAGTATTATATAGTATATGCTATACTTTTTATATTTTATTTTATTTATTGTCATTTCGTTCGATTCGTTCCTTTCACGTTTCATTTTATTTTTCTTCCTTTTCACCGATTCCAACTTCGTTTCCACTTCTTCTTTCCATTTATTTTCTACTTCAACTTCTTCTCTGACCTTAACTTCCACCAACTTTGATCTTTTATTTTCCTTTCCATTTTCCATTTTCGCTCTTTCCTTTTCCCATTTTGTCTTCAAATATTTAATCGTAATATTCAACGTAATATTTCCTTCTTATTCCTCTCTTTTCTCTTTTAGTACTCTCTTAGTTAATTCCGAACTGCTCGCTAAATCTTTCCTTGCGTATTTATTATTTTTGCTGAATTATCTTGTTTACAATATTATTATGGAAATTGTAGAAATTATATTGCTACAAAGTGGCTTATTTGTAACAATTATTACATCACAATTCTTAAATCAATGAAAAGTAAAAGATCTGTAGCAGATTACTTTCTTTATTTTTCACGAGTTAAATAATACTTTGATTTATCAAAAGGACTTGTAATTAAAAATCGATAAGATTATCTGTCGCATAGATAGAATAGAAACGTAGTTTTTTGATATCAACGACTCCTAGTTTCTACTAAAAAACGAAAGATTTTATATTGAAATCAACACTTTCGATCCAAGGGATTGAATACGCTGTTAAAATACGAATGTTTATTGAGCCGATAATTGAATTCGAACGTGCTTAATATGATAATGAGATCGCATACAGAGGTTCATCCTTCCTATTGATTGTCTCTAAATCTCTTAACCTTTGCCTGAAGTAGTCACCAGAGCTTTCATTGTATTGCGCATGATAATATAATGTCTTTGTATTTCAGTGATTTCTGCACTTTAGATCTCCCACGTAGGCGAAGTAAACTATTACAGGAAACAAATCATTTTACCGCAGAACAAGTTTGCAGTAGAAGAAAAATAATCGAGTTGCGTCATAGTAGAATGCACTTGTTATTAGTCAGCTCTTGACTTTGAAAATGTCAAAGAACTCTTTCTTGTTGTTTGTTGAAATGTTTCAATCAGATGAGAATATTTAAGACACTGACAGTTTGGTAATGTTTAAATTTGATAAGTTAATTCTCTTTACAAAAATAATACCTATTCATCTATTTTGTTCATCTTAATACTTTTTGTAATCTTTACAGAATTTTAAGAATTTTCATAACTATAAAAAAAATCCAGGTTACTTATTAACATACCTATTTCATTATCCAATAGGTTCTTGTATTAATTGCTAAAAATTTTCAATCGAAACTTGAGGAAACTATAGAATAGTGAAATGTCACTTGTGCCTAAGTTGTCTTATGTGTACGTAGGAATAAATTGAAGATAAATTAGATGAATAGCAAAGGATACGATTGGAAGAATTATGAAAATGAAGTTGGAAGAATAGTAGAGTTCTGTTGGTTTTGTCGCCTGGTTGGAGTAGAAAAGTCCTATTCGACACAGTTTGGTTAATGGTTACCGACGGCGTTAGTCAGACGCGCCTAAGTTATAGGCAACCATGTACACGAGGCACGAACTCTATTAGCCCAATGGTAGGCGCACGAAGCGTCACCAAACAGAACGTCTGTTTTATCACTAGGAACGATAAAAAAATTCTGCAATTCCGAATTTCTCCTACAGAGATCTCCAAATTTTCGAAATTTCTTCGTCACTAATCGAAATTACTAATATATCTTTATCTAGCAATTAAAATTATCGCGATGGAAATTGTACATATGCAATTATATTTACGATACTAACATAAGCACTATACGTCTATTTTTAAAAGAAAGAAACAGAACTAGTAACTGTTATAAGGACGTTTTTTTAGTAATAGTGCATAAATAAAATAACATCGCAAAAAAGTAAAATATAACAAAGTAATAAGCGTATTGAAATAATACTTAAAATGATCTTCCACATATTACGTAACTTGCAAGCCGTATGACAACACAGGAAGATAATCGAATCAAACACGAAATCTCCGTAGAAAAGTGAAATGAAAAATTACGAGCGAGTTCGATCATATTTCGCTCTCAATGCTGTGTACTTTGTTAGGCGAATGATTTTCACTTTGTTTGCAGGCGACATGGACCGAGACAATACCGACTTAACGACTTAGATAAAAGTTACATAATAACCGCGTAGCTTTTTCTTCGGTCGTTTTCTCAGGAAATATTTCCCGCTATTTCAAGCGCCGTTATGATTCTTATGTTAATTGATTCGCCTCGAATCCGTGAAAGAGAAAACGACCAACTACCAACTAATTTATGAAGATTGTTAAATCAATCTCCCATCCGTTTCTATTAAAAGATCTTGAAAAATTATTCTTCTGTAGATGTAACTCAAATATTTCAAAAGATAGAAGCAATAAAAGAGTTTACATAAGAATATGATTTAGGAAAAAATTGTATTGTCATAATCTTTGTTATTTTTCTTCGTCTTTAAACGTATTAGCTATTGCACGAATGATGGAATAACTTGTTCCAGGTTTCATTTTTTTTTTTTTTTTTTTTTTTTTAAAAAATGTTCTAGAAG